TATGCATTAAAATCTACGCGACCCAAAGAAATAGAAGAATAATAGTAGTTCTCTGTGATTCTATAGGAATTAATATTCATTGTTTCATTTCCAGCCTTTCGAAATGACAAAACGGTAGTCCATAGGATTTTTGGCTATTATTACAACATGATTGCCAAAAAGGGTTTGCATTTGGGTGTATGTACGTGTGCGGCATTTTAACTGTTTTGTTGTGAAGTCATCGTTCCCTACCCTACCCTTTATGCGGTTAAAGCTAGACTTATATCGTCTGCATTCAGGAGCTTCCTCAAATAAATAATTATATAAATGGATGTAAAAAGCGCATTTTTATTATTTTGCAGTTGCACTCTTTTTATTACATTCTTTACCGTATTGCAGTCAAGTAATTGCCACTCTCTTAAACGATAACAATCGTCTAGAGAGATTACGTCGAGTGTTCGTTATACCACTAGTAGTGTGTTGAGTAAAAATGTACAGTTCTTAGTCCCAGTTAAAAGTGTTTTAATTCCATTAAAAATTCATCAAGTGTTTCGACTTTTTCCGGTTCCGAGATTTTACACGTCAAAACTGTTATTTAATTTTTAAATAAACTAATATTTATTATTATTAGTGTAGGGGTTATTGTCCTATAAAAGCGAAAATCGAAGTTCATTAAATCCTTCAACAAGCGAAATATTGACCTAATCTTTTTTTTGACAGTTCTGTAAAGAAAAGTAGCTTTCTGTTTTATTTCAGACAATTTTTTATAAGTGATGAGAATCGAAAAAAGCCTTAGTAAAGATTAAATTAAATTTTTTCTATTCTGTGGCCGCCAGACGTCTGCAGGGCGTAGCCCCCTGGAAATGTTCGGTGGGACAAGACGACGGAGGATCAATATTTTCCGAGTAAACGCCCTCGTGTCGTCGGTCTGCATCGCTGTCGGTTTGCAACAGTCACGTGTATTCCAAAGGTTGTATCCCAATCACGTACTTTCGTTTTTTCAAATTACCTATTCTTCAAATCGACGGGAGGTGTTCTGTCTTGGTGCTACCGTTACTTTCACTTCTAATATAGTAAGATTAAATATTCAAAAAAAAAAAAAAAAAAAAAGAAAAAACCCCTTTTTTTTTTNCTTCTAATATAGTAAGATTAAATATTCAAAAAAAAAAAATAAATAAGTAACATCCCTTTTATTTTTGCTTGGATGTTTCCTCGTAAAATTCTCATTATGTACACAGTAAATGTCTTAAGTTTCTACTGGCCTGTTCTTACCTTAAATAAAAAGTAATACGATAGCCGTCGATTTACTAGAACAACGAATGTTTGATTAATAATAGTTTTTCAGGTACTAATATTAGTTGAAAATTAATTTTTTTAACTACATTAAATAATTGCTTAAAAGTTAGAATTGTAAATTTTGACACATGAATGACAAAACTAACAAAACTTTATACGTCAGGAAAACTTAAAAGAGCACTTGAACAATCACGACGCCACTCATGTTATTGTATTAATTGAAAGTTTTTCCTTTGGTTATAAATAGCATTAACAAATTTATTGTACATTGTAATTATTTTCAATTTTCCATTAAACTGTTAAAAATATCATTTTATTTTGCACTTCATTAACAGGTGGCATTACTAGGAATTTTTTTCACATCGAAACCACTAAACTGAATGAATTTTATGTCGGGGCGTTTATTGAATACCATATAACTGGAAATCATTCTGTACTTTCAATAAGTTTTTATTTCAATTGCTGTTTTTAGTCGTTTGGCGAACATTCGACTGCTATTGGATCGTAAATAGAAAACAAATAATTCGTTGGAAAACCAATATGGTTTTCAAGGCAATACGACCTACCCTTATAATGTAGTCGATAAACGAACAACAATATTATACCCTTCGACAGACCGATGCGTTGGAGGTTTTTGGTGAATTTCGATCGTTTGTGGACATCTTGATTTATTTTCCTCATACGCCGTGACTCAGCTTGTATAATCAACGTGAGTCGTTTTAAGAATTTTCTTTCGTCATCGACATATGCGTGCGAAATTAAATACAAGCTTTCCCCAAACACAATGTCAATAAATGGACGCAGTGCTATTTTTCGCCTCTGTCAATGATTTTAAGTGGTCAGTGTCGTGTTTGCTTAGACTGTGCGTATTATCTCCCTCTCTCTCCTTCTGTTTAACTTGGGGATCTCATATATTACCTAGATGGAAACCGCGATAATGACTTAGAGATTATTGCTTTTAGGGTATGGATCGAAATCTAAATTCGTGCGAACGTTACTTGGCTTATATCGATAAAAATCAAAAGCGTCGAACCAAATATATTGATTTCAAACGTGTTTCCTTTCTGAATTTAAGTATGGTCTAGACTTGATGATGGCCCATATATATTGTGTGTTTTGCAATTAAAAACGATTATATCGTCATCGAGTCGATTTAGGCTCGTATTCCGGATAATAATTACACGTGCTGGTTATAAACGTTTATCTTTAGTTTACATTGTAGTTTCGTGGTGTACATACTTAATAAATTGTTGCTATGCGAATTCCCTTCAGCTTGTACAAGTTCTGCATGTTCAGTGAACATGAACCGTTAAATCAGTACGTGTATTAAGACCGTTGCAGAGGATTTGTGCTCAAATGAAATGTGCAACAACTGTACGTCATAGGTATTTATTTTTTATTGATAGCTACAAATGAACACGTTTGATTGAGATTCCAATAGCAATTTTTCTTGTATTAGTCCAGACTTTTACCTCGATTCGTCGAACGTGTAGAGTACTGTGTTAATAATTCATCGCATTCGATGCGGCAATGGATTTTGTACATTCGAGTTGAGCGGAAATTTCCCTGGAGGTACAAGACGTCCACCGTGATATTAGTCGGTTAACTGAAACCTATAAAGTACCTTACCCTAGGCCGACCGGAAGGGCCTATGTGACATATTGTTGATAAACAAAGTCGAGCCTGTGTATACGGCCGTGTTGTAATTATCATTGTATTACGTGTCGAGGAAGTTTACCCAAAACCGCACCTGAACACTTGGTTTTTACTTTATTTTGGGGGTGTGAGTCTGTGGAGTGTAATAAGGAAGGGTTTGTAATATAACGCCAGAATATGTTATCGAAATATAGACTAGATAGTTACGTTTAATGAACGGCGAGAATTTATTAGTCTACAGTATAATCGATGCACGTTTTTGTTATTCTAAACTAAGCTCAAAGACATAGTATTGTCGAAGAGAGTGTAGATCGTGTTATTTATTTATTTATTTTGTAAACGTGTAAAGCTCTATGCATAAAGTTTAGCTGTTTAAAAATGTGAGACTTTCTTGCGTTTCTATGGTCGTTTCTTCTCAATCGCATTTAACGACGATGCTAATACTTTTGATCCATACATTTATTATACTGGTAACTTTTTGTTATTGTGTTTAAATTGTTATTTAGTTATTTAAATTCAAAAAAATTTTATACACCAATTTAAATTAATCGTTTAAAATTATCTGTGTATAAGAATAAGAATGTTTTCCGAACAGAAAAAATTAAGTAGACAAAATAGCTGACATTAAATTTATTTTTGTGTAACTGAATGAGAATATTTTCGAGTCGGGTTTTAAGAACGAACATTATTATTATTATTTGATAAGTTCAAAATCTAAAATTCTTTAATAATCAAATTATTAACTTGTGCACAAGCTTTTTAAATTATTAGCCTGATTTCTTTAGAAATGTATATCATATCTATTTTTAATTTATTAACTTCGCCGTTGTAAAATAACTGGTTAACCTGTGTATTATGATTATAAAGTATTGTTATAAATAAGTAGACCCTATTATTGAACGTAAAGATATTTTACACTTTGAACATTTGAATAGTTAGAAAATCGTAGGCTTGAGTTATTACTGTTTGAGCTGTATTGTTATAAATTATTGTAGATAATGATGTATCAGTCTGTTTTTACCGTTATTGAACAACCGACTTAATAATTGAGTTTAACTTTTTTTTTCTGCATTTAAGTTTAACGGTTCAAATTTTAATAATCAATTTTTTTAGACAAACATTTTTTTGTCAGTAATTAATAAAAAAAATATTCATTATTATAATAAGTAAAGTGTTTTAACCTTGTTTTTTGTTTTTAAATTATTGGGAAATTATTTGTAAATACTGCCAATTTAAGGGCACTTTAAAGACGTGGGTGGTATGTTTTCATTAATCTTCACGCAATTATTTAAAGACTGATTCATATATTATTAATTGTTAATATTTGTTTATAAAAGTTTTGACCTCTCATAAAGGTGACAGTCAACTATTTAAAAGAACGACTATGAAAATTTGAACTAATAAATAATAAAAATAATATGTAGTGTGTGTGTGTATGTATTGTTGAAACAAATTGATAAATTAATAGTTTTTAATTATGTTCTTTCACAAAAATTCTTTCGTTTATTGCTAATTATTATTATATGCTAAATATTATTATATTTAATTAACTGTTTAAATAAATTTAAGTTAAATCCATTTTCCAATGAAATTATTTTGATTCTATCAACTTAAAATTAAGGTGATTATATTATTTTGTAACATCAAGAGTAATACATTTGAAATTTATTTAAGTAGTGTAGAGTTTAAGATGAAAACCAAAATTCAGTGTTGATCTGTTAAGCTTTATAATTATATTTCTTTAAATTTTTAAAGTATCCAGGCTTTTAAACGTGTTTAATGCATTAGAGAATGACGTGTTTCATTAAAAGTTTTTGCACTAATTCCCCTACAAACTCAAATTAACATGTTTCATTATTATATATTGTAACTGTCATTCATATTAAATTTAATAATGATATGGGTAAATATGAATAGTATGATAATCATCTAATTTGGCGAATAATTGCATTTTTATGTTAGTACGTAAATTATTAATTTTAATTAAATAATTTTTTAAAAAATGTATTAATTGTGTAAAATAATTTATACAGTTTATAAATATATACATGTGTATTTTTTATTTGTAGGCGATCCGACTGGAGTTTGTAATAAGTTAGCATTTAAAGCTAAAGCTCAAGGATCCAAAGATAACATATCAGTGATCACTGTATTTCTACAGGATCCTAAACAATTAGTGGCCCGAAGAAAGGCCGATATAATGGAAACTGCGATGGAGCAAAGGAACTCTCTGAGTTCCTCATATGGACAAGATACAAGTGGTTTCGGTCCAGAAACCGATGTGGACACTCCTGATGAACCAATTGGTCATAGCAAACCTAAAGGTACATTTTAAATATTCATGCAATGGCTAAACTACTATAAATAAATTCAAAATAAAAATGTTGTTTTATAGGATTAGAAGTTTTGGGGTCGGTAAAAATATTTGTGCGTGTTAAAACCTAATATAAATAACATATAAAAAATCGATAAAAAAAATTAAATGACTCATTCTATTGGATTGAAAATTACTTTGGGATAGTTCCAAGCTACTAACAGTGTTATAATATATTATTGTATGTGATGATTTTTTGCTTAATTTGTAAGGAATTTTTTTTTTATGAAATGTTTGTTTTATGTATAACGCTTACCATAATTTCTTTTTTTATTTCTTATTTTGTTGAAACATTTCAGTGGAATGTGTTTATTAGATTCGACGCGAAGTTGAGAAAGTATTTTATATTATGTATTTGTTTAATGTACAAAAATAGCAACAAATTTATTTTATACATTATTTGATTATTAATAATTTCTTTTTTACCTGAATGACTGACGATTTTCCGTTTTAATTAAAATATTAAAATTCTTTTTTTAGTTTATTATAAATAAAAAACTAAATGTTTTGGTTTACCGTTTATGTTTAAAATATTAAATAATTTTATTTATAAAATGAAATCTTTTGTTATAAAGACAATCATCGATTAATTGAATATGTAAAAGAGGTAATATTTGATGATATATTTTTGTGTGAACCGATTCAGTCGTGATGAACGTTTGTTCTAAACTATTTATTCGTGTATTAAAATAATAGCAGAGTAATTTTAATTTGTATCATGTTTTTAAAATATCTCGTAAAATCGTGAAGGTGTTTGAATGTCTTAAATGGAAATTTATTTTCTGAATTGCTTATAACGATATAATTTTAAATTAATCTAAACATTGATTACTTTTTTTACTTTATTAAATTGAATGATACAAATATTTATTAATCCTTCTCTTAATTTATTTGGCGCAAAAGTTAAGTTCTAACAAGATTTATGAGGGACACTAACTAACGTAAGAGTTATTTAAAGGGAACGTTTGCTCTTGTTATTTACAATTATTTGAAAAATGACATTAATATTTCGCACAACTTTTTGTGGGTTCTAATGTTTGAAAATAAAAGACAAATTAATATTTCAATAAATTAATTTTAAGTTGAAACTCCCAAAGCATAAAATTAAAAAAAAGACAGTTATTTATTCAGATTATTATTGGTGAACAAATTGCTTTATATTTTTTCTTTGGATCAGATACACCATCTACTGACCATATTTATATGCGAAAATAAAATAAACAGATTTTATTAATAATAATCAAATTACGCATTTCTTAAAATTAATGTTGTGTAATTTTATGTGTTTAACGATAAACTATTCATAATTTGATAAAGGAATTTTTTTACTATAAAATACTTTTATAAGTTTGTACAAAGAAAACATTCATTCAATGTAATCTATTATTTTTTATTATATTATACAAACTATACCATTATAGTTTTTCGTTACATGTATTTTTTCACGGAAAATGTTTTTTCTTGGTGGATCATAAGGCGTTTACTTTCTTACATGAGTTTGTGCAAATTTCTTATTCTATTATTTAAATATAAACTTATTGTTTTTCTAAAATTTTACATTCTGTCGTTCTTCATGTGACTCTCCCCTCATGTCTTCTAATATTACAAAAGTTGAGTATCACAGTGTAGTGTTTTTATTTGCAAAAACTGTCATAGCAAAATGATAAACGACCGGCGCTAAACCTATATATTACACAAGACTTTTGTGTATGTATTCTACTCATTTTTAATATTTATTAAACATCGTTGAACTACCATTAGGTTGTCTCAGCATTTGAAATAAATCTATAGTATTTAGTTATTTTTCACTTAAGCATTGTATTTCTTTGTCTATAACAATCTCATGTGTTCATGCATTCAATGCATTACCATTATATATTTTTACTTGTGGTGAATAATGTATATTCTTTAGTAATGCATGGCGACTAACTTCATCACTATTGATCAGGTATCGTTGTAGCGACTTATGAATATCCAAGCGCATCGATCAATGTTATTATAATCTTACATCAAACAATTTTTACGTTCAACAATCGTTTTACGATGTCGATGACTGCTGAGGTTCAAAGAAATGTTTTTAGCTTCGGATGAAAAGTCATACGAACTACTTGGTGATAAAATTGTTTGCTGCAACAAAAACATCTAAAACATGATGTCTTACTAACCCGTTTAGTATTTAGAGCTAACGATCTGTAAAATAGTTTCTTAAAACAATTATTATTTTTATTCCTCTTAGTTGTTATAAATCATTTCTAAGATTTCCGTTTAATAAAAATTGCGTTCGTTATAAAAATTTCTATTTGTTATGGAAAATTAGAGAAAATAAATAATTTTGTTTGCTCCTACCATGCGATGGTAGGAGCAAATATTTTTGAAAATTATTGGTTATTATTACTTTAAAAACATGAATTTTCCAAAATTATTGTATTCAGTCGATTATTATTATTATTATATTTTTAGTCAGTTTGTAGAAGAATTTTCACCAAATTTCTGGATATATCAGTGAACACATTTTCTCTTAATGACCACAATAATGTCCCAGGTCGTCTAATATAAGACATTCTTTGTATACACCAGAGTCGTGCGTTGTAACCGCTCGTCTTGTTCTTTCTCACTCACTTTCGGTCTACCTGATGGTCAGCGTTTTCCGAGTTCTCCGTTTGAAATTCGTCTCGGTCTTATTGTTATCCTTAATATTATCCCCTCCCTCATTGGCACAAGTCCCCCCTATCATCCACTGATTCAAATATATAAAGTAATAGTCGGTCATTGAACCACCTACACCTCTAACATCATTTCCTCCATACTTCTATTCTGCTTTATTATAAAATATATCGCGTCTATAGTGATTTCACGGTGTGCACAAACGCAGATTTGATGGTCTACGCATAGTTCTCTTGCTCATTAGATGCACTCTCAAAGAGTTTTATTATGTCGATTGTTCATTATGTATGTTTTGCTACCATTTAAACAGAACGTGACCCTCCTCCTGTGTGTGTATAGTTGTTACCCTTGAACTCCGCGTCCCTTTCCACCAGTGTGTCCTGTCAGCCGTCATCTCCCCCGAAATTACAATCGCCGGCGCCGCCTGATGTTATCATTGGCGTAATGAGTGAAAAATTGCATTTCCCCTCTACGCCCTGGTGTCATGATTAAAGCTTACTACCCGTTAACGACTCGTTCTATAGTAGTTATGTGTGTTCCCCTATCGGTTTCTAAAAATATTCCTTGTCGGCATACATGTACATATAACATATATAAGTATATGTTCAGTTTCAAAAGGGGAATTATGGCGTAACACAAAAAAAGATTACGAATTATAAAATTCTTTTATTCATATTGATTTTTAATGCATAATCTGACTTGAAAGTTTTTGCTTCAGTACATCAAAAGCTCACTTATCATTAATTTATGTTGGCATTTAAATATCTCTAAATAACCTTATATTATATTTTTTTCAAATTATATTTATTAATATTATGTATAAATATTTAATAATAATAACATTTAAATTTAAATAACAAGAAAAAAATATCTTAATAAATAAATGTGTGTATTAAGTATTTGTTTTTCAACAATTAATTGATAATTTTGAAGTTAAGACTAATTAATGAATTGTAATTGATAGTAGTTTTAATTAAATAAGATACTGACAACTACACTTTATCAGTTTTTATAACTTAAAAATTGTGTTTGCTGAATTCAGTTGTACTAATGTATTATATTATATGACATCACTTCATTTAAACTGTAGTGTACCATTCCATTCTAGAAAAAATATCTTAGTCATTTATATGCAACAAGAGCATCATATTCTTATGCGGTAAACTAAAATATTAGTGCTATGCCAAATTTTAAATAACTTTTCAGTGTAAAAATTAATTATACGTTACACGGTTCGGCTTTCTAGATTGCAATTGTTGAATACAATAGCGTAACAAAAAAAAAAAAAACGGATATCTACTAAGGTACACTCAACATTTTATAATGTAACTATCATATATTCTGTAATGTCTAACTATTGCTTACAAGTCACAGTTATATTAAAGAACTTTAATTTCAAAAAACAACTCGTATTATTTTTCATTAATTTAAACTTGTTTTAGGGTTGTTAAAAAAATAAAAAAAATAACCTGTCTAAATCATAAGTAACAATTTAAAAGTTTAAATTGTCCCATAAGACTAATGTAAATTTTGAAATTTTTGGTGTTTAAAACACAATGACCCTGCTTGTTTGTAATAAATCTACATTTTCTTGTCAACATTTATATTTAATAGTTTTATTCATACTTATAGTCTTATATTAATTTGATTTTTGTGAGTGGGAATATATTTTGAACGAATTATTATTTTTTTATGTAAATTGGATCATTGGAGAGTATATATTTTTTGGGCCTTCTGGGCTATTGGGTGAACTTAGTGTGGGGTTCATTTTGTGTTAGTAGGTGTTAGTTGAGTACGGGCGTTACCTTTAAATAGTGAGTAATCCAAATACTTGACCGAATATTTTAACAATGTATTGGTGCCCAAAAATGTACCAGACGTCGTTAGTTGATGCTGGTAGTCTTTTTTGAATTATGGTAACCCCTGACTAGAGGAAAAAAAATTGGAGAGAGTGTGAGTTGACACACGGTCTCTAATTTTATTTCTGACCCGTCGTCGTTGTTGGTCGTCGTTGTCGTCGTAGTCAACATTACCGCAATATACAGTCGTGTGCTGGTATGGTTTTAGACGGTGTGTATATTCTTTCGGTTCTGTGTATTCTCGTATTTCATTTTTTAAAACGTTACGAGTGCATTTTAGTTGTGGTAGTCAAGGGCAAATTTTAGTAAAAGTATAATATAAGTATATAAATTTGCTTTACTCGTTATTTTTTTGATACCTAGTGTTACTGATATGGTTGGCTGATAAAATAACAGGTATTATATAACATATTTGCGGCAATTTTAAGTTAACATTTGATCCATTGAGTTATTTATTTAGGTTGATTGCCAAAATTTTACTAATTGTTATTACTTTATCGTCATAGTGTGCCCCCCAGTAGATTACTCATTGCTATGAAAGAAACCTGGGCGTAATTTGAGCAAATGTTTAGGAGGTCTAATTTAATATCTTCCTAGCTCAAAAATATTTGTACATAGAAATTCATGTAATTTTCGTAGTTTTTATGGGGCTATGGCAAATCTTAAAGGAACCTCCTCTAGACCTTCCAGATGCGCCTTTGGGTAGACGTAATGGGTTTAGTTTTCTAATGACACTCGTCATAATCAATATTATAAACACGCCACATAATATATTTATTGACGTTATTTTGTTGTTATTCAAATACCATCAGTCCTCCAGTCACTTTGAGCTGCTGACATGGCACGCAGCATTTTTATGTTAGTAAAATATTTTTAGACACTATTATAATGCTGAAAAGTGAAATTATTTGTACGCATTGTTACATCAACGCACTTTTCCGCAAGAATAACAAGGTGAATACTTTTTATTGCATTAAAAATCACTGTATCGGTTCTGTTTGAAACAATCGATCTATTCTGAGTGCGCTTGTCCCATTAGGTGTACCTTACTCGCTGCAATTAGGTTGAGTAGTAGTTAGATCATAAAAAAAAACTGATGATTTTTTTTTTATTGAAAAACAAATACCGTTAATTATTTTTTACGGTTCAATGACGATTGCATTATTTATTTACTATTAAATACTCTGCCGTTTATTTTAGATTTGATTCTCTTACTTCCTTTACCTTGTCCTATAATTCTCGTGTCCGTTGTAATTTGTGTTGCCAGAATTTGTTACGTTTAAAAAAATACTTCATTTTGTTGTTATATTGGTTAAGTATCTTACCAGCCATTAAAAAAACTTGTAACAAATAATAAGCTCAAATAACAATTTGGTAAAAATGGGTGCTAAGACGTCATTGAATTTACAAAAAAACCTGTTGAATTTGATTGCAAATTATTTCGTGTGAATAAAAAAAAAACAAAAAATTTCTCCAAGGACGTTAAATGAATATGAAAATAAAAAATAATGATTTAGCGCATTAATTTTGTGTTATTTTCTATGTAATTATATTGTGTTAGTTGAGGATATTCCATTGTTGTTTATAACAACACTATGAGCTTACACCAGTGTAACAAAAAATATATAGGTCGGAGGGAGAATATCGTATTCCGTTCGGTTCGAGAGATTTTCTGACAAATAGGCCCTCAGAGAAAAGGCGCTAGGGTGAAATGCGTGGATGGATATTTGATGTCCAATTGAACCCTTTGTATGCATTTGTTTCAGTAGTGGTAGCAGACGAGGGAGAAGTTAACGAAAGCGGTGAAGATTCAGAGGACGGCGGTGGATGGAATTACTACACTAACGGCAACGGCCAACGATACTCAGAAAACGACCATAACAACGAGGTAAATGCTTCTAACAATTTAGTAACCATTATAATAATATTCCGTACCATAATCGTTAACTAAACATAAATGTTGAGAAAATGTCGGCACATAATTGCCATTAGTAGTCTCATATAATTTCAATTTCTCTACCTACTACTTCTCGTGGTAGTTTCTGATAATAATGTATGTCATTTAGTTCTATAATTTACGTAGTCGGTGCACTTTGGCATATACAACAATTGCGTTTTAATTACTGTATTGTCGTTGATTATTGACTTATCTTATCGTTCTAAATTGTATTTTCAACACATTGCGTTTTTTACTATAGGCCGATGAAATGGATCGTAAACTTAACCCTGACGCTCCAGAGTTCGTGCCAGTTGCTTCTCCTCCGACCCACTTCGACAACCATTTGCAACGTTTCTTGGACACAGCCAACGATGACTTTATATCATCTTCGCCGCAAAAGTTCCGAGAGACCATTGAAAACGTTGATTTGCCGGACGAAAACGACTTTGCTTGTGATGTAAAAGCCGCTGACTTATCTAAACTTGATAATGCCTATGGTAATAAATCATAGAGTTATTTATTCATAAAATATGTAAATGTATTATTTATTTGCTGCTCCTTATAAACAGTTCGTGACCCAAATTTTCATTTTTTTTTATATTATATTGTTGTAGAAATTTTAAATGATGGGAATATCTTCTGTATATTTTCAATAGAAATTTTAGAAATGTAAATTTTTTGTAACCTACACTTATTTATAATTTCTTTTATACTTAGCAGCTTAGGGCAAAGTTTTATTAATTCGGCCATTGTACCCTATTAAAATTCCATGTAGCTTTTTTAAACTATGAATACGAATTATTAATTAACACCACTTGTTCGCAATGGTTACTCATAAATAAACATTTCATTCATTCTGATTTTGGTCACGCAATAGTATGCATATGTATAGTCTTCGAATCAATAACTTGATAATATATTTTTACCATCTGATATTTGTTAGATTATATTTTTCGGAAAGATTTGCTTATTTTTAGATATCACTTAAATAAGAACATTAATGTTGAACTAATCAATGATCCTAATTAAGTTTCACCTAATTTTTTATTTCTTATTTACTTTTAGAGACTAAAGGAGAATTTGATTTAATAAACGGTGTGAAACCTCTTGACAATGAATTGAACGGCGGTCATCATGAACACGAGAATATTAAGCGAGATATTGCTACTGAATTATTTGGAAGTGATATGATCGGAAACAACGAGAATAATTTCGTTACCACTAATGGTGACGACTTTGATGATTTCCGTAGGATTCCAGACGATCAACAAAATGATGGCCCTTTAGATTTGAATAGGGCAAGAAATTTATTTGATGGAGTTGTAGACAACGTTGATCCATATACGTCTCTAATAGAAACAGTTTCCAAACAAGAAGATTTCAATCCATTCATCGCTGAAAAAGTAGAAGAGGAACTTAACGCATCGTTTACCGAGAATAGTTTAAATTCTGTAGAATTTAAAGTTAATGGTAGTGGCTGTGATGATGCTCTTGAATGCAAAAATGAATCTGTTGATACATTTAATAAAAGTGAAGTCAACGGAACTGATGACTTAGTTGCCCTCCAACCTGACGAAGAGAACGTGAATTCTACAAACATATTTGACAGTCAAATTCCTGACGACTCTATTAGTACAGCGAATGCAACTTTAGGTTCTATTGTCCCACAGTTAGATGAAAGTGATGTGACCACTACAAATGTTTATGATGGCGATTCTACAATAAATGTTGGTGGATACGAGGACCGAAAACTTGACGACAGTATTAGCACTACAGATGCTATGATGGGTTCTGAACCTAATACTCCTATGCGTATGGTGAATCAATCGACATTTGAGTCGGACAATTCTGGCGATGAAGGTGTTGATCAAGCTGTTGTAGATAGCTGGAAGGACTCAACTGTGTATGAAAATAAAGAAAATGATGATCCGTATTGTATGGATCAAACGGCTGTGGAGGACCCTGAAGGTATTATTCCCCAAGTAACAGCTAAAAAAGTGCCCATAGAGGAAGAACTCCATCAGATCGTTGAAGACAAAATTGAACTAGTACAAACAGGTGAAAAACTGCCTGTCGAAGAACTGACGTGTCTTAAGACAACGGCGGCTAAGATAGAAAATTCTTTTTACGAACAACAGGACTTACCCGAATCAGATTTTACTTCTAGTACTCACGAAGCGCTTATGAATGCCGCCGTGCATAATTTGACTAAGGATATACCTGAAGTAGATTCATCAATTCAACATTCGTATACCCAAGAACAAGAATGTGAAGATAGTGATGTAGACGAGGTTAAATGTCACGCTGAAAGTTTAAACAAATTCCAATATGAAAATGAACCTGTCCATGATAAATCTGATGGATTTAAATTTGAAAAAAATAACAGTGTGTATAACGAATTTGAAGATAATCAAGATCACAATAATTTTGAGTCTACTCCAATTTACTCTGAAAACTTTAAAGATCAATATCATCATAATGACTTTGAATCAAATCAAAATCATTCTGATGACATTAATAACATAAATCATGATGCTTCCGAACCTGCTCAAAATCATTATGACAATTTAATAGAGCAGAAACATAATGATAATTTTGAAAAGAATGAAGTGGATCAGAGTCATTTGAATCATAGACTAGTTGATAACTTTGAAGCTGAACAATTTGTTCAGTCGAAGGAAGTTTTACAGGAACATGATAATCGAGAAGTGGACAGTGATGAGGAAATGAACTCATCCATGATTATTCATTCAGACGTTGAAAGTAATCCACCACAACCATACTGTTCAGAGGTTAACACCATGGCAGTAGATCCTGATATGATGTCTCAAAGTATGACATTCGAAGAAAATTTCCAAAATAGAAGTATGAGTGATTCATTATATGTGATGGAAACTAGTTCAGATTATTTTGGTGATTTGCAAAAGTCTACTACACACCATGAAGAATCTAGAAAGCCTGAAGAACAAGTTGAAAGCTCCGTGACAAAAGAACCAGAGTTGGTAGTTCCTGAATCAAATCCAGAGGTAATAAATGAATCATTTAAATCGGAAGAAATCCAACCAGAATTGTTCCAAGCATCTAAAGACACTGTCCCAGAACCAAAAGCTGATGAACAAAAAGAAAGTAGTAATGTAAGTTTTAATAATTACATTAAAATTTTTAATATTTATTTTATTTTTTATTTAAATTATGTTAATTTTAGGTTTCTGGTGTTGCAATAACTGCTGCTGCTGCTGGTGCTGTAGTGGCTGCTGTAGCTACTGGTGCTGTGACAATAGCTACAAAGAAATCTCCCTCGTCAACAGCTGTGAAAAAACCAGAATCTGCTGCTAAAACTAAAACGGCCACTACAAAAGTACCTCCTAAACTATTAGCTTCAAAATCTAGTGCTGCAGCACCTATAAAGAAAACTACTGCAGCTACTAAACCTAAGACAGCAACTTCTACATCATTTTCATCTAGGCCAATATCTGCTCCTTCTAGACCAACTACAACATCTAGAATTAGTACTACACTTAAATCTACTACTGCTACTACTACAAAAACTGCAACTAAACCTGCTGTATCGAAAACTTCAGTTACTACTCCTAGACCTACCTCAGCTGCACCTAAAACACCTACAACTCCTAGAACATCTACTACTCTTAAAACTTCTATAACACCTAAAACGCCAACAAGTCCAAGAACTGCAACAACTGCAACTTTAAAAACAACACCAACATTGAAATCAACTACAACATTTAGGACTTCCTTAGCTAGTAAACAAACATTAACAAATGGTACAGCTAAACCACCAAGTCGTCCAATTTCTGCAGCTTTAAAGAAACCACTTACTAATGGAACAACTAAACTGACCAATGGAGATACGTCCAAACCAGCACTTAGTAAAGGCCCGGTTAATTTAGCAACTAGAACTAGTTTAGCACCTCCCAAATTGCCACCAAAAGCTAAAACAACACCAAAAACTACTGTTGCACCGCCCTCAATGCCAGGGCCGATCAGGAGACCCACAGCTTCTGCCCCAAAAAAGACTGAGACGGCCTCTTCCTAAATTTAAAATTTCATTAAAATTTTATTTAAAAATTACATAACTTATTGGTTATTTTTAAAAATTTGATTTATTTATTAATTATATTTTTTTACCATGTTTTATTTTTGTGATTTCTTTCTCATGTGTTGCTCTGCTAAATTTGTATTTTTCTATTTTTTTTTTAACAGTTCCATAAATAGTACTTTGCAATTAGCGAATATGTTTGATATATATTAAAATATATGTTTATGGTTTTTATGTTTAAGTGACATTTGTAATTGTTTATAATGAAAGAAACTTACAATAAATTAAAAGTGTAAGTTTTAATTGTATTATTATAGTTATTATTATTATATTATTTAATTCAAATGCTAAGAAATAATTTGTTTTTAGGCTATTATTACTTTTATTATTATTTACATAATATTATGTAGGTTACAAAATAGACACCATTATTAAATTAAATAAGTAAAATCGTAAATTGAGCTTTTAATGTAAATTTTTTTTTCCAGGTGCTATACATTTATCAAATGATATTTAATTTCCAACATATTTAATATTATAAAATGTATTCTAGGTTAAAATAATTGTTTATGATGTTAAAAACCTTATTTTTCTATTACATGTATAAATTATTTTTGCATTATTACATTATTAATTTTGGCCTAGATCTTAATACGTAATAATAATTATTATGCCTTTTTGCTTACTACAGCCTATTTTGAATAAATAAGGGTGTTATGTTTTAAAGAATATTGAATTATAATAGAATATAATAAAACATTTTTTTTAACAAAAAAAATTGTTTTTTTTATTATGTTAAAAATTATATTAACTACGCTTGTGACTAATCAATGAAAAGATAAATTGATTGGTTCATAAGTAAAATTGTAGAAAAAACTATAAAAAATACACATATCTTACTAAATTATTTATGATAATTAGTTAACCTTTGATGTAAACTGTTTGAAAAAGTTCTGCGGTTTATAAATGAGCTCTTGAAATTAGGTGTCAATAAATTCATTATGTTGACACATTTTACAAATAATTACAGTATTGGGATAATAAAAAATTATGTTATAACAATATATAATAATAAAAACAAACCTTTTAGATTTTTTTTCAGCTTTAATTATGATGCAGTATAATTTAACGAATTTAAGTATTATTCCTGATGTATATAACATAGATCATAGTGTGATGTGTTATTTACATACTTCAGAAAAATTTTTTTTTTAATTCCATTTTATTGAAATAACTATAATCTTTGAACAAACAATGAGAATATATTAGAAAAATAAATAATATATAATTAATCATACAATAAAATTACGATTTTTAAAATCGATAAATTTCGACATTTTTTAAACTTTTTTTCCTAAAAATTGCCATAACCTATTGGAAAATAAATAATTCATATTCATATTGAAACCATAGATATTTCTCTTTCATTTGATATAACTTTTGAAAATCTGACCCTATACCTACCACAGGTGGAAATTTAAAATAGCAACTTCTACTCAAAAATTTAACTTTTTCAACTTAAGTTATGAGAAAGTTACTACGAGCTTCAAATATATGTTAAAATAAAACTAATGTTATGCACTATGCGTAAAAAAAAATTGTCCCGACGATTTATATTCTATGTGCCAATGGTTGCTATAGTTAAAAACATGCAATTTTGATTTTAAAATTTACGATTTCATATTTTATTTTTTCAACTTTAATTTACTATAACTTTTCAAAAATATATAAATCAATACAATTTTTTTTCATAAGCACTTTATGTTTACTTCTTTTATTTCACACATTTTTTTTAAATCAGACCATATATTTTTATACAGGCTAGGTTAAATTTTTTAAAAATGCGAGTAAAAAGTAGATCTTTTTCAACTTAACTTTTAAATATGTTCCGAAAATACTCCGGCTTTGAACATATGTCAAATTAAAACTTAAAATAAATACTATAAGTTAAAAAAAAAATAATAATGTCTTATGTACTGGCAACCACATAAATTTAACTTAAAGTAATTTTAACACAATTATTAATTAATAAGTTTAAAGAAAAGATATTCAAGTAGAATAATACATATTTATCTTAGACAAAATATTTTAAGGTTTTTAAATGTACGATGGACTTATTCACAGCAAAATCACTTTATAACTCTAATCATTGAAATAAGATTATTTAATTAGAATGTTTAATTAAGCAATACTGAGATGAGGTTTTTGTTAAGCTCCCTTTTTAAATAAAATCAAGAATCATAAAACTCCATAAATTTGTCCACTTTTAAGCAGATATTATAATTTAAATTTTAGCTTCAATGCATCATTTTCTTCAGGGTAAATACAAGATAAACAACAAATTTTGTAGAATCTACATGTGTCACAATTTTGTAAAATTTTCTTCTATCCTGCAATAAATGCCCTAAAAAATTACAGTTGTTATAAAACGGTCAATGTTGATATTCTTAGTTTTTACTTAATATTGAAATCACTTTTTGAAAAATGGATTATTGCGAAATTTTCATTAAAAATAATTAATATAATTATCTTGTCAACAGAATACTTTCTTTTTAAATTCAATCAATAATCAAAGCATTATGGAAGCTTAAAAATAAAAATAAATTTTCTTTTTAATTAAAAAAAAATATATATTAATTATGCTTTAAAACTTGTCTAAATCCATATTAAATTAAATATAGTAAAATATACTAGGGTAATAAAAGAAGAATTATTTGAATTCTTAATTTAATTAATTTAAGGATTCTTNTAAAATATACTAGGGTAATAAAAGAAGAATTATTTGAATTCTTAATTTAATTAATTTAAGGATTCTTCTGAATTCCTGGTACTATTTTTTCAACTTTTTTTTTTTCGTAAATTACCGAGTCTCGGAAATCAAATTGCCCACCGTCATTGCTCTCCTCCTGAGGCCCTAGTACCGTTTCACAATTTTTCTCGATTGGTAAATACAGTGCGCGTCTTACGTCACTTGCCGAGGACTTGAAAGTTAACTTGCCTATACGGAACGCCTGAAATCATAAGTCATCGAAACATTCGTTCAAACTTTATCAGTCAGTGATCGTATCNTCAAAACATTCGTTCAAACTTAATCAGTCAGTGAGCGTATCATAATGTTTACACTATTAAAAGTGTAGCAATTGAAATCAATTTTTCTAATTTGTATAAATATAAATTAAATTTATAAAATAATTTCTTTATGTAACTCAGACAAATTGTATAATTCCTTGAATAACACATATTATTATATAAAAATAACGTTATTCCGGAATATTTTAGTGATAAAAATAAAGTTATCAAGTTACCATTTAGAGTTAAGAAAAGTTAAATTGCCAAAATTAAAATCTTTTTACTCGAATTACGAAAAATACATTTTTTTTATAATAAAATACGGTCCTACCAACATAAAAAATACTCATTGACTGATAAATTGCAAATTACATCATAAAAAAAAAATTTCAATTCTAATATAATTTTTATTTTACAAGAAATTAAATGGTTTAGAACAAGAATCAATATCTGATCAAATTAGAATGACTGATAAGACTGACAATTAATCATTATTTATAAGAAAAATATTCATATAATAAATATGTCATCCCTTTATATTTTGTTAATTTCACGTGAGTTTATAACTAATTTGTCTACCTTGAAATTTTTGCAACTTATTTATGTCGATTTACACATTTTTGTATTTCAATATCTCAAATACAATTATAAAAATATAATATGCAACAATAAAAAAAAATTTATATGAAGAAAATGGAAATTTTACAAACTTTTACATCATAAATATAATTTTAATTTAAATTTTTCTGGCTAAAAGTTTTAATGGCCAATGTATTTTTCGTTTTACATAGTGCAAAAGCGATTATCTATTCCAATTTATTTGTTTTTATATAAATTTTTCTTCTTGTTTCTATGACTACAAATTTATATTGTTTAAGTTAATATTTTTTAACAGTCACGGGCAATTTAGGTGTGACACGGAAATTTTCTGAAGCCCGAAAACTCCACAAAAATTGCCCAAAACCCCTTTTATATTTGATTTTTTGTAGTCAGATATTTAATTTATATCTCTGCACGAATAGTGAAACATAAAAATCAAAACCAAAAAGCCTATAAGCCATCTAAAAACTGGACATAGAAAATCAAATTCCATTCTCGTCAACATACTTTCAAATCCTCAATATAATGGCAAACGTCCAAATAAACGTAAAATTATAAAATATTATTAAAGATCTTATAATATTTTATGAAGACGAGGGTACAACGATTCATTTATACTTTTCCCTACTGTGCCACAACTAAATTGTACCGCTACCTCACTACACTGAGGTTTTTTTCATTTTATAATAATTAATTCATTTATAGTGTAATAAACCAAAAATAAAAAGAAAGAAAATAAAAAGAGAAAAATAGAGATATAAAAATGAGAAAGCGTAGGTTAAATATAAAAAGAAATTAGGGGTGCTTAGTAGATTATTGTAATCATTATTTATTATAAGTTTTTGTAATTTTAATGTAGATTTAATTGTCTTCAATTTTATTTAAATTAATTTTCTCATTAATTGTTTCTCTCATTAATTATTAATGGTTTATCACGCAATAGATTGTTGGAAGTTCGAAAGCATAGGTTAAATTGTACTTACCTTACGTCCTGTGTGATACAATAATATTTTAAGTAATCCAGTGTTGATTTCCGTATTAAACGCACTACGTATACGATTTACACTATATGTAATATAGTCTATATAATTGATTACAAAAAACGACTCAAGATTTTAAATAATATGATTTAATTACACAAAGTCTAAGACTGATCTTACTTGTAAAAGATTTTAAACACTCTGTATTTTATTATAAAAACAATTTTGATTTTTTTTTACGTTTATTGAGTAAATATATTTTTTTTTAGAGAGAATATTTTTTTTTATTGAGAGATCGATACCAATATTTCTTAAATTTTCCTCTGGCCTGGCCAAAACAAGATTCAGAAATATCTATATCTATGTAAAAAATTTATCAAGGCAGAATTGTGGTGGCCCAATGTGTCCCGGTGCTAAAATAAAGCACCTTGAAAGGATGCGGCACAATAATAACCAAGACAAAAATTAAACACTGCAAATATAATTGTAAGTTTCTTTACGCTGTCTGCCGGCGCGATGTTTATTAAAACAAAGACATTAGTAACGAGACTAGCTACCCAATACGCATAGGCTTACAAATATATTCTAACCTAATATACCTAATTTTAGAACAATGTCTAGTTGCAACCTTTACTCTGTCTGCCGGCGCGATGTTTGTTAAAACAAAGACATTAGTAACGAGACTAGCTACCCAATACGCATAGGCTTACAAATATATTCTAACCTAATATACCTAATTCTTGAATAATATTTACTTGCAACCTTTACTCTGTCTGCCGGCGCGATGTTTGTTAAAACAAAGACATTAGCAACGAGACTAGCTACCCAATAAGTATAGAGTTGCAATACACTTAGTCAAATAAATTTAAATCTCAATTTAAATTGAGAAGATTGTGACCTTTAGCTCTGTCTGCCGACGCGATGTTTGTTAAAACAAAGACATTAGTAACGAGACTAGCTACCCAATAAGAAAAGCTCACAATAAATTTTTATAATTAAATAAAAATCTAAAGTTAGGTTGGGTTTATTATTAAAATAAAATAATTTTAATAAGATGTAATGTTTAAAATATTATTTGATATTTATTTCCACAATAAGAAAAATAAAATATTATTAATGATTGAACAAATTAAATTAAATTAAAAGATTCACCAAAACAAAATTCACTTTAAAATTTCTAAGTGTCATTTAGTTTTAAAGAAAAATATTCAAAGTCCAAATTAATTAAAAAAATCGACTAAGTGTTTTTAAATTGAAAAATATTCTAAGTTCAAATTAATTAAAAATTCAACTAAGTCCCGGAGAGTGAAATCTTGAGTAGANTAAGTCCTGGAGAGTTAAATCTTGAGTAGAGTGTCGTAGATTTTGTGTATTTTAAAATCGTCAAAAGAACTGGTTTAGATGGGGAAAAATGGCTTTTTATAGTGTGAAGGGGGTAGCCCAGCGATCTCTACCGTGATCCTAGAAGCTGAGGCTTTGTATTCTAATTGGTTAATTAAAATGGGGTCCCAGCGTGTAGGCGTTACTTAATAATTTCTACAAGAGGGAGATTTTATCGTATAGTTAAAGGGTTATTTTGTATTTTAAATAAGAGAACCCTGTTTTGGTGATCTTGTATAATCATAATATGTGACATACATGAACAAATGATAACATCTTATTATATATTAATATTATATGTTATAATATAATATTACAATAGTAATTTATTTTGCTTGTAAAATTTGTAATTAACTTACTTAAAATTTATTTCTATTTTTTTTCATATTTATTCGTTTAATAATTCATTTAATTATTCATTATTTATTTAATTTAGTATATATTTTTTTTAGTAGGTGGTTATAATATATTTTGAATCATCATGCAACTCATATGTTTTACATTTGTCATTTGTTATATTTTATTTTTTTAATATCTGATGGTTAATTCATATTTATGTTTATTAATTATTTGGGTTATACCAAAACGTTATATAGTTAAATTTAACAAGTTCATCTATTTTGTTATAGTTAGACCATATGTTTATGGTTTATAGCTTAACATGTACAACAAAATGTACGAACGCCTAAGTATATTTTTCTCCCACCCTAAAAAATATATTTATAATATTACATAAACAATTTTTTTTTAAATTTAGTGGTCCTGAATCATTAAGGTGAGAATAAGCACCAGAATCCATGTTCGCCTATTCTGAGTGTTATTCTAAATATGGCGTATCTCAATTTTAACTCAAAACAATTTTAAATTTAAATAAAATCAAACATATCCTTTGTTAGTTGTCAATTTAATTGAGTTTTTAAAAATTTGAAAAAAAAGAAAATGAATCAGAAAAACTTTATACTTATTTATTTATTAAATATTATTTTTGAATATGCAAACAAATTTTATGTTACATCCATGAAATATTATTTTTTTATTATGATATTATTATTATTTTTTTAATATTAAAACTTGTAAATGTAAATATAAATAAAATTTTAATTAAAATATTTCAATTTTACTGTGGACATATTTTTTACTCATTAATTGTTTGAATCAAACTATGGTTTTTTTGTATATACTTACCAATTTTTTTTAAAATTTTCATCATTTTATCAAATAATATAAATCTTTCTGTAAACAAGTATGTAACATCAACTTTTTTTTCAAAAGGTATAGGAAAGTAATTGTAAAAACATCTATGTTTTTCTGCCTTATTACCTATATTAAAATATTCCAATGTCAACTCAGGTAATTTTTTTTTTTCGTCCTTAACATATAATATTCTGCTATTGACACAATCCAATGAAGTTTCTGCCATTGTTTTTATTTTTTCGCTAAATTCTCTACTGTCTTTGCAATTTTCCAACTGTGTAATATCTTTTTTTAACGTATCGTGGTATTCATTGTATACTCGTTCTAAAGAAATTTGCATTTTTTTAAGACTGACTAAAATAATATTTTTAGCGTCTTGTTCATATTTATTAAACACTACTAAATCTCTACCGTAGGATGCCAATAAATATACGAATGCGTTGGCATGTCTCTTAACATGAAATTGAAATCCATATTTATAAGTGTAGTAGTAATTAAATTTAATAAGATCATGATAAACTTCACTTTCTGTAGATAATACGTCGCTTATTGAGAACATATCTGCAAATAAATTTTCGAGAGTTATTTTATAAGATTTGAAAGTACTGTCTACCACACTATCTTTAACGAACTGCCACCAATGAGAGTCATGGGCAAAATGTAGGTTTATTGAACTGTACTCTTTATAATCATCGATAGGTACATCCTCACTTGAAATTATTGTTAAAAAAAATGCGAACAAGACAATTTTCTGAATCATGTTATTTTTTTATAAATGTAAACAACTGGTTTGCTAAAATCAACTAAAATAATCGACAAAAACTATCACCCATATTTATACTTTTATTTCAGATATTATTAATATAAACAAGACAATTAATTATAATAATGTAGGTTAATCGCAAACATTTTTTGTATCTAAAATAGATTTTGTGGTTAATTTTTTTTGTGAAAAACTAAGTTTTAATATAATTTACCAAGTGTTTATTTACTCTACCATTATGAACACATAATTTTATTTTTATAAAGATCTTTAATAAGGCCGACCCCAAGTAGTTAGGATTAAGGTGAGAAAAAAGAAAATAAAGACGTATAATAACTTAAGTGAAATCGTTTTAATGGCCAATGTATTTTTCGTTTCACAAAACGCAAAAGCGATTTAGACTTCGAATTTAAATTTTACGACTATAATTCTGTCACTTTTTCTAACTACTACTACAACTTTAGTTCTCATTCCCTCATCCATTATTATCCTTACACCATTATTTGTATTGGTCGAGTGTATTATTTCATAACCCTCAACTTAACTTGAGTGATGATGTCCCTGTACCGTTGACACTACAAGAGTCGTATGGCTTTGTACACGTGATTAATGAAACAGCTACCGAACAAGTTGTCCAGTTGGTATCAAATTCTATTCTTTAGGTTTTCTCCGTCTCTAACTATATTATTTTCTCTCGTCTGTTGTTATTGTGTACATCCGCATAAGTTCAGTCCAGGACTCATACTTTTTGACAAAATTTTACACTGACGGTCTATCTGACTGAAACTTGTTAGTCGCCCTTTGCAATTGACAGAGGGGCCGTGGAAATATTCTTTTACCCTATCTACGGGGATAATTTTGATAAAATACATTACTAATAAAAATAGTATTCATAATAACATAACAAAATTTAGTATGTCAGAAAAATCAATTATAAGGTAATGACACAATTTTCATGTATATAATGAAATATCAAAAAAAAATGTTTAAAAANCAGGGATTCGGAACGGAGCAAATTTTGTTCCGTTCCAATATTTGCTCCGGAACGGAACTATTAATAAAAATCGTTCCGGCTATTTGTTCCGGAACGGAACTCTTCCTAAAAATCGTTCCGACCATTTGTTCCGGAACGGAACTATTAGTAAAATTCGTTCCGGCTATTTGCTCCGGAACGGAACTTTGCCTAAAAATCGTTCCGACCATTTGTTCCGGAACGGAACTATTAGTAAAAATCGTTCCGACCATTTNCATCTAAAAATTAATTAGAGTATAAAACTTGTTTTTATACTGATTTACACTGTAAAGTCATATCACTAAATGAAATATTTTTTAATGATCATAGACTAACATATACTTTACTAAGCTAAATTTTTACACTGATTTCAAGGCTAAAATTAAATTTTTTCTATCACTTCTTTTTAGAGACTATTACAAATTAGTAAAAAATAAGTATTTACAGATAAAAACAAAAAATACATTTTTTAAAAACTATTATGGATTGTGAATTTTCATATGTTAAAAAAAATTCATAAAAATTTTGATTTAAATTGTTATGTATAACCTATTTAAGGTCCTTTAAAGTTTATACTTATGAAAGTTTATAATTAATAAATATTGAACTATTAGACATTATTTCAGCTTAATTTACAAGTTTGATGTTGAAAACATTAGTATAAAATTTTATGAGAATTTAAAAAATGGTAATGTTAAAATTATATACAATCGGAAAATTTCATAATTACTACTTACAGTAAATTTATGAGAAAAATTCAAAATTTAAATAAAATCACTATATTTTTTTTTTTTTTGTATTTTTATCGTAATAAATCATTTAAATAGAAGTTTAGTGATTATTTTTATGTAACTCTTATTCTTATATCATAAATCTTTACTCTAATTTATGGTGCTTAAAATGTTTCATAGTTGAAATATTTAGAATTTAATTAATTTTTAATTTTTAAAAATAACCAAAAATATGTAAAGTGAAATGAAATTGAACAAGATATCAGAGGAAGAAATAATAGGTGAAACTAAGTCCATCGAGTTCGGGACAATTCTTCATTTTTAATTTATAGTACGTAACATAAGCTTTACTTAAACATATGTTTAAAGGACACAGTATTTCCGGAACAATTTTAAAACTTAAGCTGAAAAATTTATATTTTAGTGTAAAATTGCTATTTTTAATACCCGCCTTTGAGCAGGTTAATGGTCCAGTTTTAAATAATAATATTATAACCAAGAGAAGAAAAATATTCAAGGTGTTTATTTAAAAAACAAAAAAATTCTGATTTATTCATTTTTAAAAAAGGTTTTGGCAGTTTTAAGAAAAAAATTCAATGAAATGATAAAATATACCAATTTTAATTATTTGGGGAAATTTTGATTACTTATGGGAAACTATGGAGAATTATCTATTTTTGAGAGTTATATCCTAAACTAGATACTATTTGTGATCTGTTGATATATCGTTGAAAAAAATCGATCCAGTGAGAACTGAGAAAAAAAGTGACAGACAAAAAAAAAAATTAATTACAATATGGTAAAATTAATACTTTTTCAGTTTCGAATCGAAATTAAAAATGTCCTTTGAAATAAATGGACATAATAATTTTAAGTTAGTTGGCTATAAGTTTTATTGGCCAATTTATTTTTCATTTTATTGCAATTTATTTGTTTCTATATAAATTTTTCTTCTTGTTTCTATGACTACAAATTTATATTGTTTAAGTTAATATTTTTTAACAGTCACGGGCGATTTAGGTGTGACACGGAAATTTTCTGAAGCCCGAAAACTCCACAAAAGTTGCCCAAAACCCCTTTTATATTTGATTTTTTGTAGTCAGATATTTAATTTATATCTCTGCACGAATAGTGAAACATGAAAACCAAAAACAAAAAGCCTATAAGCCATCTAAAAACTGGACATAGAAAATCAAATTCCATTCTCGTCAACATACGTTCAAATCCTCATTATATTGGCAAACGTCCAAATAAACGTAAAATTATAAAATTTTATAAAGATCTTTTAACATTTGATGAAGACGAGGATTCGAGGATTCAAAAGCTTGAAACTTCCAAGACGTTTCAATCAAAAAAGACACTTAATGTTAGCCATGTTAAGAAAATTACTAAAAAACAAACAACTGTCAATAAAAGACAAGTAAAAAATTTTGATGCGTTAATTTTGAAACGTAAAAATCAACCTCGCAATAAGTCAAACGCTAAGATATCTACTAAAAACAAATCAAATTCAATTAATGTGGAAATACCATCCGAAGCAGACAAACATATGAGTAAGATTAATTTATTTTATATTAATATATTTTACATAAAATATTTATAATTTTTGAATCAATAGATCCGATTGTATTGATCGAAAGAATTCCACAAGACACTATAGACTATTATATGTCTAGTAAAAAAACTAATGCAGACGAAATAGTAAATAATTTTGGTGAACAAGAAAATGTAAGAATTAACAATTCTTGTAAGTAAGCTTAATTTATTTTATATTAATATATTTTGTTTTTAATTTACAATTTATATATTTTATATGAAATATTTATCAAAAAATTATTTATAATTTTTGAATTTATAGATCCGATTGTATTGATCGAAAGAATTCCACAAGACATTATAGACTATTATATGTCTAGTAAAAAAACTCATGCAGACGAAATAGTAAATAATTCTGGTGAACAAGAAAATGTAAGAATTAACAATTCTGAAACCCACAAGACGTATCGAAAAAAGAATAGAACTCCTGTCATCAACATCAACATACGTACAAATCCTCATTATGTTGGCAAACGTCCAAATAAACGTAAAATTATAAAATTTTATAAAGATCTTTTAACATTTGATGAAGACGAGGATTCGAGGATTCAAAAGCCTGAAACTTTTAAGACTTATCAATCAAAGAAGAGAACTCATCTCGACGACGTTAACGATTCACGTAAAAAATTTAGACTAACAAATAAATATGAAGACAAAGTAAATAATTCTTATACTCTTAATTCAAATCGTAAGAATAAAACTCCTGACAAGTCAAACGTCGAGATATCTACTGAAAACAAATAAAATCCAATTAATGTGGAAATACCATCCGACAATGTCAATCATATGAGTAAGTGTCATATTTTTTATAATAATGTACACATGTGCATAGAATGAGTGGGTAAAGTATGTCAGCTGCCANTGACAAAGTCAATCATATGAGTAAGAGTCATATTTTTTATAATAATATACACATGTGCATAGAATGAGTGGGTAAAGTATGTCAGCTGCCATACATTCTTGATATTTCGTGTCTTGCTAATATTGCGATATAAAACACTATACGGCCCAAATATGTATTGAAAATTTAGACTGGGGAAAAAGCCTAGTTGTCTCCACCCAAATGACACCTTTGTTTTTCTTATAAAAAAAAATCAAATTCCACTGTTAGAATATATATATATGTATATATAATAGTTTGATAGTAACAGCTAATCAATCATTCATTTTATGCTATTATTAAAAATATATAAATAATATATTTTATTAAATTTTGTATTAGTGTATTTTAGAGTTATATTTTGTATTAATGTTTCAAGTAATCAATTAATGAAGTATATTTCATAGAGCTTTAGTTTTTAATAATTAAATTTAGTCTAATTAAGTCACTTAATTATACATACAACACTTAAACCATAAAATAATCTAACATTTAACTAACATTATGGAGGGTGCTAATTGGATTTTCTTCTTACCCCAAACAATTATACAGAATGTCCAACTAGGTTAGACATATTTTATAATTTTTGATCAAATAATAATTTCGTTGAAATAATAACTTAATATTTGCTTGTCCTAAAATTATCATCGACCCACAAAATTTGTTTGTTGGACAAGGCNGTATATATTTGTTCTAAAATTATCATCGACTCACAAAATTTTTTGTAAGATAACGCTGAATAATGGCTATTTAAAAATTTTGAAGAAAATAAAATTTCAACAAAATGTATTATAAGTTATAAGACATATAAAAACATACGTAAATTAAAAATATGTTGTGGGTAATTTTGTCAATTGAGAGGCTTAGCACCTTCTTGTTTCCTATTTGTGTTTATGACAAGAAACCCTAAAGGAGTTCCTCGGTAACCCTTCTACACTGAGTCTATTAAGCGGATAGCAAAACCACATTACTTTAAACATATTTTTCATTTTTGTTCTGGTAAAATTACATTTTTATGATCATTACTTATGCTTCAAACAAGTATCAACATCAATTTTTAAATGGTAAACCAATCATATATATATATATATATATATAATCAGATTAGATTTAGCTTAAACAAATTTTTTTTTTATTTTTATTCAATTATTAGCGAACTATGATTCATTAAAGATTAGAGGACGTGAGTATTTCTCACGTTAAAGAAGAGCAAGCATACTTATGTTGTTACCGTTGCGATACAATACAGCGGTATTCTTATCGGTACACTGAATATTTATTTTACTGTATTTATCCTATTACTGTTTTATTTTGCATTTGCACTATATTTTATCAAGGAATGTTATATGTTATATATAAATTTCAAGACGTTATAATTATATAATTTTGTACTTTCATTATCAGAACAGTACTGAGTACAGTATTAATAATTTTTTTTTTCTCATATATGATGTATGAAACTATGAGTTTATCGTTTGAATTGGGATTCATCTATGATAACTATGATGTCCATCGTTAAATCGCAGTTACCAATATATTTATCAAAATTAAATGGTCCAGTTTTAAATAATAATATTATACCCAAAAGAAGAAAAATATTCAAGGTGTTTATTTAAAAAACAAAAAAATTCTGATTTATTCATTTTTAAAAAAGGTTTTGGCAGTTTTAAGAAAAAAATTCAATGAAATTATAAAATATACCAATTTTAATTATTTGGGGAAATAATATTTTGTTTATTATATTATACTAGATCATAATTAATGTAGAAATGAAATCTAAAAAGTAATAAAAAATTAAATATGTATATATAGATATATTTAATTTAAAGAACTTTATTATAAAGTAATAATCAATACTTAATGAATACATAAATTCTTATATTTTACAACTTACATTACAATTAATTATATTTATTAATTAGAAAATAATTTAATATAAACTAAACAAAATCAGAGGAAATAATTAAATTCTCGATAATTTATTATAAAATAAATCGTTGAATGTTATGAGTCTTGTGTTACGGCATTGGAGGATTTCAAAGGTGTCCTTTGAGGTGGTGCTAGTATGATTTTTAGCAGATTTACAACAGGTGCCTCGAATGTCAGTGAAATGAAAAATGATATTATGAATGAAGCTACGGCATTTCCAAAGTATAAGATGAGCTGAAAAAACAAACATTTCATTTGATTAAATATACAATTTTAATAAAAAATCAAATACATCTTATTTTATTATGGAACAAGGAAAAAAAACCTTTTTCTGGAAAAACTAATTATCGTATTTGGATGTTCAAAAAATTTTTTTTTCAACGAAAGTACTCGGTCACGAAACTCCGGGAAAGTTATTGTGGAAGGTCGGAAAATTTTAGCCAGTGTTATAAAATTTCGACCGATTTTGAGAAAAACACTCGCTGACGTCGCCAGCGTCTTTCGATTGAAGGTTTGAAATTTTCATTAGACCCGTTTAATAACATTTCTGAGATATCATAAAAAAATCAATTCAATCCGTTTATTTTTCACCGTTTTACGACCTATTTTTTTTTTTTTAAATTTTCGAGCATGGTTTTAATATAAGCATTGACTCTTTTCTGCGCATATGTTTATTGTGACCCTTAATTTGTAAAATATGTATTTTGATGACCATTTAATTTTCTATTCAATTCATAATTAATATATGTTATTGTTGTCATATATGAATTGATTGTTGTAATTTATTAACTATCTTTTTTTTTTAGCTTCGATGCTAAGCGGAGAAGGTATTAATTTTACTATGATGTGTTTTTTTTAGCTTCGATGCGAAGCTGAGAAGGTATTAATTTTACCATGATGTGTTTTTTTTTTTATTTTTTTTATTTTTTGTGTCTGTCACTACTTTTTCTCAGCTCTCACTGGACCGATTTCTTTTAACAATACGTCAAAAGATCACAAATTGTATCTAGTTGAAGACATTACCCTTAAAAATTTAAAAATTTTCCCTCGTTCCCCGCAAATGGGGGAAATATCCAAAAAAATTACAAATTTAAAAATCG